TTTGCTGGGCAGCCTCCAGTTTCTTAAAGGGAACTACGGTGATTTAACCCAAGCCTCTATATGGGAACTATAATTTAGAATAAAATTAGGTTTTTTTTGTGATGGTTTATTGACTCTGTTTACATGCTTTGGCCCAAATCTCTAATTCACAAGTTTTATTTACTCCATATCTTTTCACACCATCATTACCACCACCACTTGACCTCAAATCCATTCTGATTCATAGCAACTCCGCGTGAGACACATAGACCAACTGAACAGAATAGAACTGAGCTCCATAGGGTTTTCAATGGCTGTTTTTTTTTGGAAGTAGATCAGCAGGCCTTTCTTCCCAGGTGCCTCTGGGTAAACTCAGACATCCACTCTTTCAGTTAACAGCTGAGGCATGTTAACAGTTTGCATCACTCAAGTACTCCCTTCACGTCACAGTCCTCTAATTAATGCACTTAACTTCTTTGAAAGCATTTTTGGGATATTCATTATTTACTGTTAATTTCCTTTTGCTAGATTGGCCTATCATTCCAACATGTTAAGGAAAGTTGTACAGTAAAAACTGTGAAAGCCAGAAACCGCTTATGGCAGGAACGTGCCAGAGCAGGGAAACTCAAATATTTTCCACCAATACAGAGCAATAGAAAGGTGGTAAGACTGCACACTGTCAAAGGTGGAAAACTTGTGAGACAAAGTAGTCCCGTAGAGTTCTAGCTCTCACAAGTTTCACTGTATGCTAATATTATCATCTGGTATATTTACTTTCACTCCTAGCTTTATGTTATGCTCTCTAGGTCCTTATTCATTCACAGATTAATATACAGAAAACCTAAAACTAAGGACAAAAATGTAAATTTTGACCATTTACAAATCCACAGAGATACTTACCATCCAAAAGCAAGGTCGTGAAATAGCCTCTCAAATCCAGAATACATAAAATAATGTCACATCTCTATGATGTTAAAGTATAGCTCTTTAATGAAAATAGAAACAAAGTTAGCACGATGTTTATTCTTTAGAATTTATATTAACACTGTTGATCACTCACCCTATTTATATTGTTGTTGTTGTGTGCCACTGAGTCAATCCTAACTTATAGTGACCCTATATGACAGATTACAAATGCCCCATAGGGTTTTCTCGGCCATAATCTTTACAGGAGCAGATCGCCAGGTCTTTTTTTTTGTGGTACCACTGGTTCTAATCACTGACCTTTGGGTTAGCAGCTGAGCTCTTAACCACTGCGCCACCAGGGGTCCTTCATGTTCACCATATTCAGGGTCAGTTGTAACAGTAGGAAGAGGAAGTGGTTATTTCTCTGAATGGCTTTACAGATGTTGAGTGCTCATCAGTAAAACATATTTTCTCAAGAGAATTTGACTAATATTTAAAAAATAATGCAATCATAGACCTCTTATTTAGCAATTGGCTCTGTTAGAACACAAATATTCTTCAGATTTAGCATATTAATTCATATCAATAATTTATGACTTTACATCAATGAATTTATACATCATTTCTTCAGTATGGGTTTGGTGAGAGTTTGGAGATGTTGGCTAGTCTAAGAGAGAATTAACCATTGGTTGGAGAAGAGAATGGCATAGAGGAGAAGGCTGGGTGTTCAGGGCTATATTTTCTCTTTCTACTTCCTCTTTCCCTATGCATCCCTACAGGTTTACTCTTTGCCAGACTTACTAGAACCTTCTAACTTGAAATAGTAACCAATACAGCAGCCTCAGTAATTCACTCCTCCACATCAGTGAGGTATTTATCACAGCCCATTATCTATGGCACCTCTTCACTTACAATAGGCCACTTGTACAAAAATCCCAAGTTTAAATAATCTTTTCTACATTCAACACTTCCTCCCTTCTTCCTGTGTTCCCCATTTAATTTCACTTGCTTCCAGTCAGGTTCCTGAATTACCTTTCTCATTCAGTAACTTCTGTTCTTGGAATCCAGGAACTGTCCTTGGAACCTTCTTGAACTGTCCCCACACCCCTACCCCACCCCAGATGCTGCCTACTTGATTTTTGCCTTGAAATATGAGTAACATCTATCTAGACTAGTTATGTCTGTACACTGTCTATGTTTTGAGGAACATTGTCCTTAATCTCACATCTTTGTGGACCTCTGTTTGCCTGGATCTAGACTTCATATTGCCAAACTTAGGAGGGCCTATCTTATCCATACTGTAGCTCATTTAGCACCGCTGTTTACACTGTGTCTGTCCTGCTGTGGTTTCTCTTTTTCACCCAAGTATCTTATTTTGAGTTCACCATCAATTCACAATGACCAAGTAAATACAGTTTGTGATTGAATACCAGAAGCCTCCTGAAATTTCTTTCTTTCACTGTTCTGTTTGTAATCAAAATAAATCTGTGTGGTGATGATCAACTGTAAAAGCGAGGTTTACAGAGGTTATTGTTGTTTTGTTAGTTCACAAGAGTTAAAGATGGAAATATAAGATACTAAGTAGTCTTCTATCTTATTTAAAGGATCAACTACAAGTCTCTGAATAATGCTTTACAAGGAGTTGTTATCATAAGTTTTTATCAAGTCCGAATTCAAAATCTACATGATTTAAAAACAGAGGTATAAATCCATGTCTTTATTTGCAACTAATCAGAAAAGTAGTAGCAATCAAACTTGGAGGCAAGAGGCTTAAAGGAGGTGTCATGGATTGAATTGTGTCCCCCCAAAATGTCCGTCAACTTAGCTAGGTCATGGTTCCCAGTATTGTATGATTGTCTACCATTTTGTCATCTGATATGATTTCCCTATGTGTTGTAAATCCTATCACTATGATGTAATGAGATGGATTAGTGGCAGTTATATTGATGAGATCTACAGGCTTAGACAGTGTCTTGAGCCAATCTCTTCTGAGATATAAAAGAGAGAACCGAGCAGAGAGACAGGGGGACTTCATACCACCAAGAAAGCAGCACTGGGAGCAGAGCGTGTCCTTTGGACCTGAGGTTCCTACACAGAGAAGCTCCTAAACCACAGGAAGATTGATGATAAGGACCTTCCTCCAGAGTCAACAGAGAGAAGAAAGCCTTCCCCTGGAGCTGGTGCCATGAATTTGGACTTCTAGCCTACTCGACTGTGAGAGAATAAATTTCTCTTTGTTAAAGCCATCTACTTGTGGTATTTCTGTTACAGCAGTACTAGATGATCAAGACAGGAGGCAAAAGTCATTTTTTCTTATGCCTTATAAGATCACTAGAGAAGACTTGGGGTCAGGAGTGTAGCCCCAGAATGAAAAGGGTAGGATTCAGTGACCCTTGCTTCTGCTAAGATCAAATTCTGAATTAGTGAGGGAAGGGTAAACAGAGAGATTTCCCTCTTAATTTGATTTTATTCACATTCACACACATTATTTAATTATTGCTAGAATGTCCTTGACACCTCTTAAGTGTTAATGAGTTTGGAATATAAACGCAAAAATAGAATAGCTCAGATTTACATCCACTATGAATATCCTTGAGGCACTTAAGGTTGTCTAGTCCAAGTAGCTTGTTTTACAGAAGAGGAAGCAAATTCTGAGAAATGAAGTTTCTTGTTCAAGATCATCCAAACTGTTCCCCAGTTTAGTACCACCCTAACCCAACAGGCCTTTGTGTTTTGTTTTTAATAACTATGCAGTTTGAGAGGATTTTTTAAAAGTTTCTCATATTCTATAAAGCATGTTTATCCCCACTTTTTCACCCTTCCAAACCAATTTACAAGTCTTCATTTACACATAAACCACTTTTTAAAAAAAGACTCATTGCCGTAGAGTGGATTCTGACTCATAGCGACCCTATAGGACAGGGTAGAACTGCCCCATAGACTTTCCAAGGACCGTCTGGTGGATTTGAACTGCCAAACTTTTGGTTAGCAGCCATAGCTCTTAACCACTACACCACCTGGGTTTCCTAAATCTCTTTAGGAGTTTAAATACCATATTTAAATTATCTAAAATAATTCATTTAACCTGGAGCTTCAACATCTGCAACTTAGCTATAGTTTTAAAGCAGGATTAATTTTCTCTCTGTGAAAATGTATTATATTAAATGAGGTAGGAATAGCATTAGACACATTTTTGTATTTTTTTTAGTGCACTGGGATATAAATATGGACATGCGTTTCTAAGAATTCAGAAATGCCATTCTTATGGGAGAAAAAAACAGAAAGCTAAAATCATCCCACAATATCTAATGTTAATATATTTTCCACCATGGTATACTTTTACACATATATTTATAATAAGAAATAAAATTACAAAACTTTGAAAGCTATAAGGACACAAATTAAAGAAAAAAAAAAAAGCCAAATTTTAATTTTTGATCCCAAGTAAAATTAGTGGAGATTTTTTTTTAAGGATCTTATCTCACCCTAGTATATGAAGATAATACATAGCTACACATTTTTAATGTGGTTTTTCATTGCAGTCGTTTATTTACTTACTGATATCTAGAGCTAGAAGCAAACTCAACTTACGGACAAAATAGGGAACGGGTGAAACTACGAATTTTCATTTTTGGCTAGAGAACTGTATATTAATATTCATTTACTAAAATTCAAGAATAGAAGCCAATATTGAGATGTTATGTTACATTTGATTGTTACATTCAACACAAGCTTCTTAACATATCTGTTTTTCTTGACTGAGAATCATAAGGAAATTGAATAATACGGAGACATAGTATAATTTTCTCCCTAGTAGTGGTAGCATGGAGCCCTGGTGGTAGAGTGGTTAAGAGCTACAGCTGCTAACCAGAAAGTTAGCAGTTTGAATCCACCAGCTGCTCCTTGAAAATCCTATGGGGCAGTTCTACTCTGCCATATAGGATTGCAATGAGTCGTAATCAACTTGAATAACAATGGGTTTGGTTTGGTTTTGATTTTAGGGGTAGCATTTACTACCTATTTTTGTGGAATGGGTTGACATTCAGCTATAAACAAATGAAACACATATTTGAAAACGCTGATGTTATTGTACAAAGTATAAATAGAATACATACTGGGTTTAGAAGGATTGTGAGGAAAAGTTCACCTCCTCTGATACTTTTATCCAACTCTTGGGGTCCTCCCGGATACTCTTTGTAGAAAATAGTGTGAGTGAACAACCCACAGGTCTGTCGAGGGAGAACCTGAGGAAATGGGAGAAACATCAGCATATTGACACGATATAATTAAAAACTCTACCACTATCTCCTGACTTTAGAGTCTACAAAATATTATTTCCATTGGAGCTCCTTGGTGGCTAGAGTTGCAATCTTACTATAAACAAGAGTTGATATTGGTGTAATTATGTAGATATTAAAGGAGTTGGCAAATCAAAATTAGAGGTTAGGTGAAAGAATTTTCTCTCAGTTTTTTAAATCTCACCCAATAGCTGAAATATGTTAAAGGATTGGCAAAAATAAAAGCATTGTTGTTGTTGTTAGCTGCCATCAAGTTGGTCCCCAACTCATGGAAACCCCACCCCATGCACAAGGGAACTAAAAGCTGCCCAGTCCTGCACCATCCCTGTGATCAGTTGCAGATCTGACCTTTGTGATCTACATGGTTTTCACAGGTTGATTTTCAGAAGTAGATCACCAGGCCTGTCTTCCTAGCTTGTCTTAGTCTGGAAACTTCCCTGAAACCTGTTCAGCATCATAGCAACTTGCAAACCTCCACTGAAAGACGGGTGGTGGCTGTGTGTGAGAGACATTGGCCAGGAGTGGAAACCTGGTCTCCCACATGGAAGGCAAGAATTCTGTCACTGAAACACCAACGCCTCATAAAAACCTCCTTAGAGTTCTGAGTCAGAATTGACTCAATGGCATCAGGTTTGGTTTTTTTTTTTTTTTTTTTTGGTTAGGGTTAATTAATTTAATTAAAAAATAGAGATTCTCCAAGGTTACATTTTCCTTGTTAGTGGGCCATTATCCTCCTTGCTTCTGAAATACAGTCTTGTACTCAAGTTCTGAGAGTCAAACAATCAGTTTAAACACCCCTACCCTACTCCACCTAATCCATCAACCCTGCCTTTTCTTCATTCTTTCTGTTTTGTTTTGTTTTTACTATGCTCTTAATTTAAATTTTGTCACCATAGTAGTCAAATCATTTAATGATTGCTTAAGGCATATTTTCTGTTGTAAATCTAAATGTTCAACAGAGAAGGCAAATAAGTAATCTTATCCCAACAGCTTATTTTGAATAATACACTATTTATAATCTAATGGAAAAATACATCCAATTTAACAGAGGAACTATAATTTTCTTTATTCTTTGCTTAATTTGTCATAATTGTGTTGCGTTCAAGGTAAATGAATGCCTGTACTATTGGTTAAGAGGAATGTTCTTCTTTTATAATATGTGAGATAGTCATGCAACACAGGGAAAATTTTCACTCTGACTCAATCATGTAGATGACTAGGTATTATTGATACCATGTAGATTAAATTTTTCATTTCCCAGCAACTATATAATTATTTTTATGTCTCCTGGGTTCTATGGGTGTCAACACTATTATTTGAATTATCAGTTACTCACTTTGAATCTGTGTATCTTTAGGTCTTCTACCTATTTACAATCGAATAACAATGTTTGACAATTGATGAATATTGAGTACAAGCTCTGGTTAAGGATGTGTGCTAGGTAGCATTTTTTCTTTGGTGTTAGATATGGTTACCTTTTATAATTCAACCCAATTCAATTAAAAATTATCTTGAAGGATAGCATTATGTCAAGGACTCTAATTGATGCTAGTGATAAAATGGTCAATAATACCTGAGCCTTTTCCTTGAGGATCTCAAAGTTTCTAAGGGGAGATATATTTATCTAAACAAATATTTTTAATAATCAAAAGGTAGCAAGGTCTGGACTGAGAGAAATACCTGCTATATACTATGTGAGTGCTGCTAGAGGATTAATTTGAGGCCAGCAATAACATCTTCCCAGGGGAAGTTAGTGTTATTTGAATCCTAAATAAATGTACAACATAAAGCTTTCTAGGACAGAGGAAAGCTATGTTTTGAAGTTCTAAAATAATACAGTATAACTGGGACTTAGGAGGCATGCAGGAGTGATGAGAGAAAAGGCTGGTCATGGGCCATATCTTGAAGCTCCAAGAATGATAGAATAAAGGGATTAGATCTTATCTTACAGGATAAGAAGTAATCTGATTATATATATATATATATATACGTAGACATTGTATACATATATACATATTTATACAATGTGTATGTATATCTATATATGTGCATCTATCTATCTATAATTTTAGAAAGACAACTCTAAGAGCAATCTGAATAATGGATTGGGAGGGTATAAATATTTAAGTATTTGAAGGAAGAAGAACAGTTCATATACCCTTATTGTGATCTAGGCAACTGAGGATGAGGAACTGGAAGTGGGGATGAGTGAATAATACTATTTTTTTAACCCAATAAATAATTGTAAACTTCCATTTAAAATGCATTTGGTTTTATTTTCATTTATAAGAACTGATATATTATTCTAACTTCAGATTATTATTTTTTCAACAATTACATCTGAAAAGAAAATATACACTTCCTTTTTTGGAGTAGGTAAGAAAAATTTTAAAAAGGATGAAAAGAGCAGTATCCTAAGATACTCTTGAGTTTCTAAATGCCAAAATACACAGAGTGGATAAATTTAGTTTGATTCTGTCAATAGTATAACAATTATAAAGGTGTTTTTTTGATCCACAGACCCACACTCTGCCTAGAAAACTCACAGTAAAACCACCAAAACAAATAGACACTACGATATATCCAGAAGTATAGAATCCCAAGACAAACTTCAATCCAAAAACAGCAATGGACGATCTATATTAAACTCATTTCACTATTTTTGAGCTGGTCTTGGACTCTCCAAAGCCACCCCACAGCTTGAGAAGCAAGTCTACAGCCAAATAGTATGTTAATGGGCGGCCAGTCACCACCACAGTCTGTTAGGCAATTCTAATACTGATGTATAAAGGTTTGAAGTTACATCCTCAGAGGTAACGGAATCTATCTTCATTCAACATGTAGATATACACACCACGATATGCTCACCATGATGCTGTTGTGAATGAAACCCTTTCTGTACCGTGCAGGCTTCAAATGTGGATACTCTTCAGTGCTCGTGACCTGAATATCCCAGACCTTCTTCCACGCTTCGTAAAGCTGAATATGAACTGGGTAGACCCCTGAGTGATGTGGCGCCACTGCATAGCCCATGCTGATTGGGATCCCATGCTCCTGAAAGAAAGCCCGAGCAACATCATGATGCAATATAGTCAAATCAATTAAAAATTTTCTGCAAGAATTTATTCTGGGCACTGGAATTACATGCTAAGTATGTAAAATATAAAAACTAGCAAGATAGAGTCTTTGTCTTTTAGTAGTTTACAATTTTAAAGTGCTCTGATGGTATAAGACACATAGTAATTAATTTGGGCAAGTCAAATATGGATGAGATTAATGCTGAATTTTGAATACAGAAATGTTGGGGTAAGTTAGAAAGTGAACTTGACCTTTCCTCAAATATATATTGGAAAAAAAAAAAAAAGATGATGTCACTTGAGCAAGTGCCCAGAGATAGATCACTGTGTGTGCACGCACTTGTATGTGTGTGTGTGTGTTTGTGTTGGTAGTGGTACCAGCAGTGTACAGTGTATGGAAGGAGAAAGACACTATGGTCTTGAATGTAACCAGGAAAGTATTAGCCATTAAGTTATGAGCTCTTACTGCTAAACTGGGGGGTTTAGATTTAATTCTATTTAAACAGTATAGAAAAAAAAGCTCTCTGAGCATGGAGGGCCATGATCTATTCTGTGTTTTAGGAAGAAGAATATGATGACCACATGTTAAAATGGACTAGAAGTTGGGAGAGAAATGAATTAAGGTTGTACATTAGGAAGTTATTGCAATTGTGCAGATTAGAAGGAACTTAGGTACCTAAAATAGATTATTGGTGGTCAGATTAAAAGGCAGCAGATACATGCCATATAAGATCTACAGATGTATTAGATACAGTGGGAAAAGGAAAAATAAAAGTTAAGATTCTTCTGGTTCTGAACCTTTACCACTCAATTTATTTTTATAAAACATACACTTTACTGTGGGATGCTTATTTTCGGTAAACAGTAAATTCTAAAGGAAAACAAATAAAATGTAAAACAAGAATATGAAAAAATTGTCAAAGAATGGTATCATATTACTAGGTCCATAAATTGATCTGCAGTTTTCTAATTTCTGCTTTTTATATCTTTGTTTTTAAATGCTTATCTGCTTTATAAGGACTCCTTGTAGGGTTGAATCTCATCAATTCAGGTTATAAACGACAATGTACAGTCATATATGAAAGCTGATTGAATCAATAAACAGAGCACAAAAGTGTTGACTTGACAACTTCCATTTATATTTTTTATTAAACGGTGTACAGCATAGGAAAAGAATTCAGTAAGGTGTAATAAGCAAGCAGTGAATGGATCACTTATCTACAATGCCATAGGCCATATTCAGCTCAGAAGATGAGCCTTGAATGTTTTACAAGACTTCATTATTCTTTCTTTCATTGAATGACCCTCATTGTATAGCCAAATTCTCCTCTCCTTCACCTAGACTATGTGTTTTCTAACATCTGTTACAATAAATGGCTCTGTAGAAAGACTGAATTATGAAATCAGTGCTGTAAAATGAACTTGTTGCTTTTGCTACACCTTAGGGAAGATTTATTTCTTGGCATGTACAGAGGAAAAGCTTATTCAAAGAACTTACATTTCCAATACAAGGCAAGGTTGGAAAAGTCCAATAACAATACCACTTGGAAGCTATTAGAGGGGGACAGGCAATTGCTGTTACCCTAACACATCACTGAGGAATGTGCTCTGAGAAAGGGCTTGGTTCTCTCTAGATAGTTCCATGCTGCCCAAGTAATCTGAGGATGAGTGTCTTCCTGTACCACGAAAATGCGTGCGTGTGGGTACTTTGTGTATGAGACAGAGCACAACCACCTCATTAGAGAAATCTAGGGTCAATGGTGTTCAAGCCCCTCTTTCTGGTAAATAGAATTTGTGTGACTGCTGCCTGAAAAAGGACTTCTGATCCTCAGGAAAAGAAAAATAAATTTGTTCTCCTCCTATTACTCTCTAGAGTGATTCACACTGAATCTTTGTAATAGACTCGTCCTATAATTTGAAAAATGACAAAATCAACAGTGTATGAAATAATAGCCTCCACTAATCCCTCTCTTAGTCCTCATTTTCTATCATTGTATAATATTTTATTTCAAATCCAGGGCCTAGAATGCTAAATAAGTACGTGAGTGTCCTAGAAACAAAGATGAAAAATGAAATCAGTGAAGGGAATTGAAATATCAAACAACTGTATCTCTTCAGGAAAAAAAAAAGAAAAAGACATTTCACTTTTGACAGGTAGTAAAATGAATTGTAGAACTTTCATTAAAAACCAGAAGGTAAAAAGCAATTGATTTGGAGAGGAGAAAGGAAGGGGCAGTAAAAAGATTGTATTATATTTATTGATTTCTGGAAGATTCAATGTCATACTGCTCATAAGGCCATCTTATCACACTGGCAACTGGAACTCAATCAAAATAGTAAATCACTCTAGATGATTATGAGTTTATACTTTTTCAATCTAAATGATAACACAAAGTGAGAAGTAATCCCCTAGTCACTCTTTTATCAAGAGGCTGAGTGCTCTAGAAATCTTCATTCTTTACTGTCCAGGGTTTAAAACCCACTTCACAAAGACTTGGTCAATTAAAAGGTGAACTGAACATCATCTTTACACAAGACCACAAAAATTACAAAATAAGAAAGATTTTCCATTGTAAATATAGAAAGCACTTGTAACCATAAAAATATACATATTTGTGACAGAACAAACAAACAAATTCAAATCTGGCCTTTATTATTTATTAAAACAATTTCTCTAACAAGATCTAAGAATTCTATAATATTATACTATGACATGCCACCACTCATATTTATAAGGGAGTTTGACTTGATCTAATTTTTCAGTTACATTAAATTCCCTGTTGATTGGAGAAATAGTGTGGTAATTCACAGATTATATGAAAATAGGGTCATCATTTTTCAACAAAAAGAAATAAAATGTATTTAACACTAAAGTTATACCAGCAACTGAAATAATCTCATTTGATTTTTCTTCAATCATTCCTTTTGATCATATCTCCTTGTAATCGCTTGTTGTTGTTACAAGCATTCGATTTTGACTCATAGTGACCCTATAGGCAGAGAAGAACTGCCTCACAGTGTTTCCAAGTCTGTAAATCTTTATGGGGCAGTTCTACTCTGTCCTATAGGGTCACTAGGAATAGGAATTGACTTGATGACAGTGGATTTGATTTTTTGGTTTATTCTTTATGGAAGCCAACTGCTGCTGTGTTCTAACCACTGACCTTTCAGTTAGCAGCTGAGCATTTTACCCACTGCTCCACCAGGGCTCCTTTGTAATTGCTTAACAGCTGATATTTTGGAAAGAGTGTTTATATATAATTGGACCCTCACAATAATACTGTGAAAGGCTGGATACTATTACCGAATGAGGAAACTGAGACTCAGAGAAGATAAATGATTTGCTCCTGTTCACAAGTCCCTGCAGTTCATAGCCTTTGCTTTTGCTTTTCCACGAAGTTGCTTCTGCTATGACCCCTCAGTTACTGACTGAAAAGTACTATATTTACAAAACAGAATTAATTTGAATATGTATTTATGAACTGGATCCCCTATCCACCCTCGTTTACTTGGCAAAGTTATCAAGTTAAAAATCCACATTTCCGAAACTCTTCTGAAGCTATGGATTTTGGTGCAAATGAAGCTCAGCTGATTAGAAGTACTCAGGACAGATTTTAGAAGGCATGAGGAGGCAGAGCACAAATTTTGGCAGCTCCTGGCTCCTGCTGCTTGCCTGTGAGATCTTGAAAACAAGGGACTGTTTTGCAGCACTATTTGGTGCTCATTTGCAGGGGCAGCAGTAGCAGCTTATTGCTTCTGCCAGAGCTCCAGTGGCAGCCTCAGAAGTGGTAGTCCCCTATCAGTTCTGTATACCTCTGCAAGTCTCTGCAGGAATACAGCCTAGAATCTGTTCTATCAGCCCTTCCAAACTTTTTGGAGGCACTTAAATCCCTGAATAAAAACAGTCTCTGTTTAAAATACCTAAAAGGATTTCTGTTTCTAGCATGGAAACTTGACGGATACAGGTGGTCTTTGCCCCTTTCTAGTGAGTTTAAAAAGAGGTTCTGATGGTACACGTGGTTAACATGCTTGGCTGCTAACCAAAAAGATGAAGGTTCTAGTCTACCCAGAAGTGCTTCAGAAGAAAGGCCTGGTAATCTATTTCTGAAAAATCAGCCATTTAAAACCCTATGGAGCACAGTTCTACTCTGTTGCATGTGAGTTGGCTGTGAGTTGGAATCAAACCCGGAGGCAACTGTTCTTTGTTGGTTTAATAAGTATGCTGTTGTTGTTAGATGCTGCCGAGTTGATTTTGACTCACAGCAACCCCATGTGATAGAATAAATCTGCCCCATGGAGTTTTCTTGGCTGTAATCTTTACAGAAGCAGATCTCCAAGTCTTTCTCCCGTGGTGCTGCTGAGATGTCTAGTGGTTTGAATTCCAGGGAAACAGAAGAAGAGTTTGGTGAAGTTTTTCCCAATGTTTCTCCAAGAAAACCGATAGATAGATGGCAAACACTTATTTGTCTAGCTGAATACTGTCATGTAATATATATAAAAAAAAACAAAACCCGTTGCCATCAAATTGATCCTGACTCATAGCAACCCTATAGGATAGAGAAGAACTGCCTCATAGGGTTTCCAAGGAGTGGCTGGTGAATTCCAACTTCCAACCTTTTGGTTAGCAGCCATAGCTCTTAACCACCATGCCACCGGGGTTCCTATGTAATATATATGACTGCTAAATCTTATGTACTAAGCAGTCAGATGCCAGTGGACAGTTCATAGAAAATAAATAGAAGACTACAGTCTATTTAATTAATAAAGGCCTAGTGAATATTGAAACAAACTCAACTACATTCAAATAATTATTATTGCGTATAGGATTTTTGCCAAGCACCCTGCTAAGGACTGGGGATACCCAGGGTAACCTGTAGATATGGCTTCTCTCTTCATGAGACCTGAAGCCTGGAGACATCTTCATTCTGGAAATCCATTAGATAAATGCATCTCAATTTCTATATTAAGGTTTGACCT